AGTGTAAAGTTCAATTTTTCAGATCAATGAATAAATCAGAATTTTTCCCTCTTCATTCTAATATGGTATCAGAGCTTTAATTCACTTCATCATCTTCTTGTTTCCTCTTTGCCGTTCGAAGTTCTGATCTCCAATTCGAGCAGAAGTTTGTTCACCATGGCCAATGAAGAGGTGAATTAATCAACTAATCCTTCATCAATAGGCAATTCAGCCATTGAAGACGGATCCAACCCTTTTTACCTGCATCATACTCATAATCCAGGTTTAATTCTTGTCTCACAACCATTAACTGGAGACAATTACGCCTCATGGAGCAGATCCATGAAGATCGCCCTATCTGTGAAAAACAAACTGGGATTCATTAATGGTTCCATATCTCGACCAGCAGGAAATGATGATCTGCTTAAGTCTTGGATGCGCAATAATAATATTGTGATCTCGTGGATTTTAAATTCAGTATCCAAGGAGATTTCAGCCAGCATCATATATGCTGAATCTGGACAGGAAATCTGGAATGACCTTAAAGAGAGGTATCAACGAAGGAATGGTCCTTGCATTTTCAGCTGAGAGGAGATCTGATGAATCTCAATCAGGGACAATCGTCTGTGGGAGTTTATTTTACCAAACTAAAGACTATTTGGGAAGAATTGTCTAACTCTAGGCCTGTATGTTCATGTGGAAAATGTGACTGTGAAGGCACCAAAAAGATGGTAGATCACTACCATATGGAATACCTTATGTCATTCTTAATGGGATTAAATGATTCCTTCGCCCAAGTCAGAGGTCAATTATTGCTGATAGATCCTATTCCTCCCATAAACAAGGTGTTTGCGCTTATATCTCAAGAGGAGCAACAAAAGAGTATCAATATTAGTACTGGTACATCTGATTCCATGGCATTTTATGTAAAAAATGATCTTAAGAAAACTGCTGGAGGTCAATCTTACAACAAGTTTCAGAGGAAGGAACGACCTATATGTACTTACTGTGGATACAATGGTCACACAGTTGATAAATGCTATAAATTACATGGATATCCACCTGGATATAAACCTAAGCAGAAATTTGGTCCCAATCAAACAACTTCAAATATCCATCATGCTACTGTGAACAAAGTGTCCTAGTCCATTCCAGAACACACAAACGGTGATGTAGGGAATTTTGTGCAGGCTTTGAATCCTACACAGTATCAGCAGTTGATGAATGTGCTGAGTACTCATCTTTCAACTACAAAGACTGATGCTAAAGGAGATATTAATGGTGATCATGCATCAGGTACTTGTCTTAATTCCTCCAGATATTGGGTAGTGGATTCAGGTGCTACCGCTCACATTTGCTTCACAAAGTCAGCATTCCACACAATGAAATCTATTCAGAATGCTTATATCACATTACCCAATCATGAACGAATCCCTGTATTTTTCAATGGAACTGTGAAAATCAGCAATGATCTAATACTTGAAGATGTTTTATTTGTGCCTTAATTCAAGTTCAATCTACTATCTATCAGTTCATTAACCAGGGATTCTCCTATATTCGTCAAATTTCTCACTGACTCATGCATTATTCAGGATCCATCCAGCTTGAGGATGATTGGAAAGGGTAAATGAGTGGCAGACATTTACATATTGGAGGCTGGTCCTTCTAATTCTGTTTTTCGCAATTGTAGTTCTTCTTATGACATTTCTAAATCTGTATGTCAGCAATAAATAATGTGACTTCTCACATTTGGTATAATAGACTTGGTCTCCTATCTTTTCAGAAAATTGAATTGTTAAAAGATCAGTTACATCTTACATGTAATGGTTACAAGCAATACAAATTTGCCCCTTGTAGTGTGTGTCCTCTGGCAAAACAGAGAAGGCTTTCGTTTGTATCAAATAACCATTTTTCTCATAATGCTTTTGATCTCATTCATTGTGATACTTGGGGACCATATCATGCTCAAGCACATGCTGGACATAGATTCTTTCTCACATTGGTGGATAACTGCACACGGTTCACTTGGATATACCTTATGAAACAAAAATCACATGCTGAATCCATTATTCCCAAATTCTTCAAAATGATTGAGACTCAACTCCATAATGTGATCAAGGCGTTCAGGTCTGATAATGCACCAGAACTAAAGTTTGTGGATTTTTTTGCCTCAAAGGGAGTTATTCATCAATTCACCTGTGTTAAGAGACCTTAACAGAACTCTGTTGTTGAAAGGAAGCACCAACACCTCCTCAATGTCGCTAGAGCCTTGTTCTTCCAGTCACAAGTACCTATTCAGTTTTGGGGAGAATGTATATTAATAGCCACCTTCCTCATAGACAGAACACCTTCCCCATTCTTGCATAACAAAACTCCCTTCCCACTTCTTTATGATTCCCCAGTGGATTACAAACGACTTAGAGTTTTTGGTTGTTTATGTTTTGCTTCCACCATATCTTCCCAGAGATTGAAATTTCATCCAAGAGCCAAACCCTATGTATTTGTTGGTTACCCTCCTGGTGTGAAGGGACACAAGTTATATGACATTGTATCAAAATCACTTTTCATTTCTCGGGATGTTGTATTCCATGAACACCTTTTTCCTTTTCAATCCATTCCACACCACTATGACTCCGTTGATCCTTTTCCTGACATCGTTTTACCTGAGCCTGCTTGTGATGTTCCTTATAACTCAGCTCACAATATTGGCAGTACATCTATTGATACTTCTGAGCCTTCATCATCCCATACTCACTTGCAACCTGAATCCAGTCAACCACTCATCTTTAGAAGAACCACTAGGATCACCAAGCCACCTTCTTACCTCAGAGATTTTCATTGCAATCTCTTGGAAGAATCCTCTATACTCCCAAACGTTACTACCCCTTATCCTTTGCAAAAATATCTGTCCTATAAAGCATTTTCTCCTGCACACTGTCATTATTTGCTGAATGTATCATCTAACTTTGAACCACAATACTATCATGAGTCTGTCAAAAATAGTCACTGGAGGGAGGCTATGGCAGCTGAGCTAGAGGCAATGGAATAAATCAGACCTGGTCAGTGGTTAATCTTCCTCGAGGGAAACACTCCATATGCTGCAAGTGGGTGTACAAAATCAAATACAAGTCTGATGGAAGTATTAATAGACACAAAGCACGTCTTGTAGCAAAGGGGTATACACAACATGAAGGATTGGACTTCATTGAAACGTTCTCACTAGTAGCCAAACTCGTTACAGTCAAAATCCTCCTAGCAACTGCTGCCATCAATCATTGGCACATCACTCAATTAGATGTGAACAATGCTTTCCTCAACAGGAATCTTTTTGAGGAAATATATATGGACTTGCCCCAGGGATATGCCAAACATTCGGCTCATAATACACGTGGGGAGAATAAACTGGTCTGCAAGCTGCACAAATCCATTTATGGTCTCAAACAAGCTTCAAGACAATGGTTTTCTAAGTTCTCTAATGCTCTTATTTCACATAGCTTTCAACAGTCAAGGTCAGATTATTCCCTTTTTACCAAAGGCTCTGGTCACAAATTCGTGGCCTTATTGGTTTACGTGGATGATATAATTATCACTGGTTCATATAGTGAAGCCATCAATTCTCTGAAGGCGTTCTTACATAGTCGGTTCAAACTTAAAGATCTAGGCCAATTAAAATATTTCCTTGGTCTGGAACTTGCGCGCTCACACAAAGGGATTTTCCTCTCTCAACGACACTATACACTTCAATTACTTGAGGATACTGGTTTTCTAGCTTGCAAACCAGCTCTTATACCCATGGGTCCCAAGACTCGTTTATGCTCATTCGAAGGGGAACTTCTTGTTGATGCTTCTTCATATAGGAGACTCATTGGTCGCCTGTTATACTTAACAATTTCCAGACCCGACATCACTTTTGGGGTTCACAAGTTAAGTCAATTGTTTCTCAGCCTAGACAGCCTCATCTCAATGCTGTACACCACCTGCTAGAATATATCAAAGCAACGCCCGGGCAAGGTCTTTTATTTTCAGCTCAGTCTTCTTTTCAACTTCAAGCCTTTGCTGATGCCGATTGGGGCTCTTGCCTGGACACAAGAAAATCAATTACTGGATTTTGTGTCTTTCTAGGCGACTCCTTAGTATCTTGGAAAACAAAGAAACAAAGTACTCTATCCAGATCTTCTGCTGAGGCCGAATATAGAGCCTTATCTGCAACAACCAGTAAGCTCGTCCGGATCCATCAGTTACTTCGTGATCTTCAAATTTCTTCCCCGGCACCTGCTCTCATATTTTGTGACAATCAAGCTGCTATACATATTGCCACCAATGCTATACTTCACGAACGAACCAAACACATAGAAATTGATTATCACTTCATTTGGGATAAGATCAATGAAGGTTTCGTCAAATTGCTTCCAATCCGCACCCAACATCAGCTTGCAGACATATTCACCAAGCCTTTGCCTGCCAACCTTTTATTTCCTTTGATGTCCAAGATGGCCATTATCAATCCTTACAGTCCATCTTGAGGGGGTATAACAAAATAGACACAAGCTGGAGGCAGTTGAGCTGGAAGCTAACCGAAAGTGGCAAATGGAAGCAAGTGATAACCGTTATATTGCACAGCTGGGTGGTAGTTTTGTCAGTTGTATACTTACACGTCATAATTGTATTAGTCCTAGTTAGTTTGTTTGTTAAAGTTTGTTGGTCAATTGTCTATTTATAGATGAATGTAAAGTGTAAAGTTCAATTTTTTAGATCAATGAATAAATCAGAATTTTCCCCTCTTCATTCTAATAGTTAGAACTAATTATATTGTCGTTTTGAGGTGCAATTTGTTTTTATTAAAATTTCAAAGATATTTGTCTGCAGTTCAGATTTCTCTTCTGAACTCAGTTTTCATGCGTAGGAATTTTCTTCTTGGTATATTCTTGAGATATATGGTATTTCGTATTGTATCAAGGGTATATTTGGTAAGTTGCAATGAACTGTAAAATGGAAAAAAATTGTAGCTTCTCTCTATAATACTATACCGTGTTGTCGTGTTG